TGATTGTAACCACCTATTAAGCCAATAGGTGCCTAAAAAATCTCTTCAAAATTTGCAAAAATCGAATTTACTCTTCCAATAATTGCCACGGGCGCTTAAACGCGGGGTCTCTGGCGCTTAGGCGCGGCCTTCTCTGTTCACCCGGCGCTTAAGGGCTGGATCTGGCGCTTAGGCGTCAAAACACTTTTGCACATTTTTTCCGCTTTTTGGTCCAAATTCAATCTTTTTTCACTTTTTTAAGCATTTTTTGCCCTTTCCTCTAAACATTTTTCACCTTTTTACTTGTACCTGAAAGAAAAACACAAAAACACATTTCATTAAAGCGCAATATCTCAAAAATAGGTATAAAAATATATCTAAAAATGTTATATATTTTAGGTGTATCAGTGCATAAAGCAACCAACTGTAAAATTTGATTTCTAATGAAAACTCCTTTTTTTTTCTTTTTCTCAACCCTATGATGCTTGGATCGACTAGTAGATTCAATTTCATTGAGGTTATGGTTGGGGCCTTTATTTGAGTCAGCAGTTTGCTCGACCTCTATATGCTCAACAAACCCTTTCTCGCTTGGGACCCATGCATGATCATTCGTGGCCACGACTCGACCAAACATACAATCTAAATTTTGTTCAAGCTTAGGGTCAATGCCGCTGAGTTTAAATTTTTTGGCATTTGACACTATCTACAAATTATGAATGAACGACAGGTTGATGTAATTGAAAAAAAAATATGAAGGATTGGACGTTTCATAAATTCTCACATCCAATCTTTTGATCATCATTCTTTTGATGCATCAATAGTTCGTTTTACCGGTTCCCAACCACCCATTCAATGGAACCTTGCTTTAACTTTTTCCATAATTTTCAGTTCTTTTTCAATTGATCTTAATTATTTTTTAATTGCATTATATCATATTCCCTTCTTATGCTCTTCTTGAACTTTTTTATTATATTTTGTCATCCTTGTTAGAGTAGGTGGTTGACCTGTTTCACAATTCCATCTCTTTAAGACAGATCACAAAAAATTAGCTTCACCTCATTATATCACTTGTTTGGCGAACCAATTTTTTTAGTCTTAACCATGACGACTGTTAACATGAAAAGAACCAAGCAACATAAATGTGTGGCTTATATTATAAGGTTATCTCATGAACACAAAGTCTCATTTAAAATTCCAAAACTCAAAAAAGTAATAGAAAAGAAACATCTGAAATCTATTAATATGTCACCAACAATACCAACATCAACTCATCACCACCACCATATCATCAACACCACCATACCACCAAACCACCACCACCGCATCATCAACACCAATACACTACCATCACCGCATCATCAACACCAACACACTTCCACCATCACATCATCAACACCACCACCTAACCACTATTACATCATCACGACCAACACACTACCACCCACACTACCACCACCCTCTCCAACCCAACACACCACCACCACCACAACAAACTTCCACCACCACACAATCAACACACCACCATCACTCCCATCTACCACATCAACAAACCACCAACACCACAACACCATCAATGCACCACCACTCCCATGTACATACACTACCTCCACACCAACACACCATCACACCATCATTCCCATGTACATACACTACCCCCACCACACCACCACACCACCACACATAACCCCAACACACCAGCTCCCAACCATCACCACATCATCACGACCAACACACCACCATGCATATCGCCTACACACCACCATCAAACCACCACCACATCATCACGACCAACACCACCACCGCCACCACCTCCACCTCCAACCCAACACACTACCACCACCTCCAACTCAACACACCACCACCACCACACCAACAAACCAGCACCACCACACAATCGACACACCACCACTACACTAAGAAACCACCACCATTTTATCAACACACCACCAACATCACTTCTATGTACACATACCACCACCACACCCACACTCCACCCACACCTACCACCTACACATCACCACCCAACCACCCCAAACACCCGGAGGCCGCCAAACAGATAGAACATTCCATCCGAGAAAGAGGGCAACTCACCCAGACCAACCAAATTGAGAAATGAAGCATACATAGAGGCCATAAACCAGAAAGAGCTTCCCAGCCTCCAAAATTGACAGAGATAAGAGCATTCCGAGTCCAATCATTCTAGAGGCGACAAAATCCAATTCCATTCATTCCATAGCCTACAAATCTCAAATCCATTCATTCCAGGGGCCATAAACCGAAAAAAGCAAGTCACAGGTCCCTAAAACCACAAACCTGGTAGAGCAAAGGGCACAAACAACAACAAAAATGATAGATGATACCAAAATCCAAAATCCCATCATAATGGTAGTAGAATATTGATTTTTATAGTAGTGCAAAGCCAAAAATATCACAGAGAAAGCCAGACAGTCCAAATCAACCTCAAACCACAAAGATAAATGATTGAGTGTACCGTAGGAGAGCAATGGAACTAAACGGAGTTGTGATGGAAGAGGACTTCTTACGGCAAAAACGTGATAGAGGAAAGGACCCTTAGGGCAAAGACATGAGAGAGGCAGATAAACAAGAGAGGTGGAGACACGAAGGAGAGGCTAGTGCAGAGACATGGGGGACAGGATAAAAAATAGCGTAAAAATGCGGACTGCGGGGTCAAATTTGTGATCTGCATTTACGGGAGTTTCATCGAAGACAAATGTAAAAATGTGCACTGTCGGAACCAAATTAGTGGAAATGTGTTTTCCCACTCCATCGCAGCTATGCTGTCACGCCAAACTGACTCATTGTACATTAGGACTGCAGCTGATAGATGCTAGTTTATGACGTGTTTGTAGTTTCTTTTTGCACTGTTTCTTTAGATAGTGATATATTGTTGTGTGGATTGAGATTTGTTTTGCAGATTTTTTCTATTATTGTTAGATAATTTAAATCTCCTTATATGAAATTATGGAATTCTTAATGTCTCTTTTATATTTTGAAAAATTCTATAATTCTGTTGATAGATTAAATGTTAACACTATCAGACCGTCTGTTCTCGTCTTAGTTAATTCTAAGCTCCGGGCCGGATCGTGAAACAACAAAAGCTAAGACCTCATTGCAAACCTTAATAAAGCTGATTTTGGAGCGTGTTAGAGGGAATGTTGTATGGAAATGGGGAACCAATGTTACTCGCAAGTGTAGAGGTTTCAAGATAGTCCAACAATATAGATTGTGGTTGGGAAATTTAACACTAGTCAATTCCGTCCTTGGGTTTGTTTAATCTAAGACGTGAAATTGAGCTAGCATTATCACAGAATGAGTGAACATATTGATTGATCCGCTTAAGAGGAGAATCTGAAGATGAGAAAGCCTTTATCCATGTTAAAGGCTACTTTCAAGCGGTTCCTAAGCTTTCTCATTTTGAAAGCAAGCTTTTTATTACAGCATTCTTTCTAATAAGGGAATTTGATTGATCCTTGTTGGCGAGCCTCTGATGAAGTGATTAATGAAGAATAAAGATAAAAGATGGTCACTTGGATCTTGTAAAAGCGCTGGAGTATGCCATGTTGTGGTTCATCAGTAGTTGTTTAGCTGTTATCGGTGATGAGTCATCATGTTATTGGTCGTGTTGGGCATGCACTCATAAGGGACAAGCCACGTGCAAAGGGGAGGTTAAATGCACGTGTTACGTGCCCGCATGTCTGCAATGGAGTGACCAAGTGATAAAGCTTTAGCCTAGAAAAAGGTAGATTGGCGGGGAATCAACAAAAGGTGAGCTGAGCAAGCACAACTAGCCTTGTTGTAGATGAACTGGTCACCAATCTAAAAATTTGTTTAAGGTCTTGAGCTGGCTCAAGAAAAGTTGTTTGTTGAGAAGCGGTGTTGCTAAGGTTTGCCACTACTATGCTACTAACACAAGTTCGATCTTTTTCACCTACACTCTAGAATCCATGTTGTTGTAATGGTGCCTTGTCATTGATCAATGATATTGATGGTGTTGCAAGTGGGAGCGAGTGTTGCGTCTTCGTTAAGAGGTAGAATAAAGTTGGTCACTAGGAGGTGGGAGGAAGAGAGGGTAGTCTGTGTGATACTAAGGATTTTTGTGCCTTTCCCATTTTGATGTTTGCCACCATATTGTATCCACTAACACAATTTTGTTACTCTCCAATTGCACACAAAAACCCATGTTGTAGCCATGTATTGTCACTGAGTGGTCATGTTGACGCTGTTGAAATGGTCAACCTAGTTAGATGGAGACTCTCCATCGATATCAATAGCTTGCAAGTAGGTTTTGGAATGACTGGTGAGTTAGGGGAGAATCTCGTTGCCAGTTGAAGTTATGAGGTTTGCACTGTTGCATTGGTGAGGCAGATAAGTTTGATAATGTCTCCAAAGAGCAGCATCATAACATTAGTGAGATTGATACTCTTGATATTATCTAGAACGAGCAAATTCTTTTGACCTGAAGATGATCTTGTCACCATGGAGGTTGTTGGGTCGCAAGTTAGAGGGGTGCTTATTGAGCAAGGAAGGATAGCATGGCAGCAGACGTAAATGGGAGAAATGAAAGGATGGTGAAGGGAAAGGCCAATAAAGCTGGCCCTTGTGGGCAGGAGATGTGGACCTCGGTGGATAGACATCGAAGAGGAGTTTCCCTGCAGGCTTAGAATAGGGAAGAGGTGGGGCTACTCTAGCGGTGGAAGGAAACCTCAAACCTTCTTCATGTAATAAGGTTTATTATGTGTTAAACTTCTACAATAGCAATGGAGTTAACTCTAGTTCCTTCTGTATGTTCATGTGATCACAGTTTAGCATGGTATGTTCATTTGCATTTTTAATTATATTAACCTAAAACTACCATACATATCTTTTTCTGTTTCTTTTTTTTTTTTCATTTTGGGGAGATCATTGGCAACTGTCAGAGTAATGAAAAACCCATATCCGACTTATTTAGCTTGTTAAAGTTCCCAAATGTTTATTTATCTTTTTCTTTTGAGACTACACAGGTCAAGTGACATGATCCTTGAACCGTATGAAACAGAGATTACTGAGCAGTCAACCACTTGGACAATAGCTTTGGCAAAACACTTACATTCTATAGGTGCTAAGATGTATGGGGCCTTCTGGTGTTCTCATTGCGTGGAACAGAAACAGGTATTATTTTTGTACTTTCCTATACTTTCCTATATATATTTATCCCCAGTTGAATAGCTCATGGTGCCCTTTTCTTTTAAAGGGGAAGACTGTTCAAATTCTGCGCTAAAAATTTACTTTCTCATGTATTTGCTGTCACAGCTACTTTGCTATAGTAAGACAATTATACAGTATTCTCTTAATTTTCAAATAGTATTTTCTTAGAGGTCTGATGATGGTTTCCTTTTTTTTTACTCTATTATGTTGTATTTTACAACGTGCAGTAAGTCCTAGCTTAGTGCTTTGGACAAACCATATAGCCCTTGAAGACACTGCTTTTAGTGCTATTTATGGCCATACATTTTTATCACTGCCCTACAATGTGATTACAGCTTCCTTCTCCGGAAAAATTACGCTTAAAGTAGTTAACAACAGCTTGCCCAGCTAGATGATTAAAAATTTTAGGAAGGGATGGCCAGCTAGATGATTAAAAATTTTAGGAAGGGATGGCTTGTGCTTGGTGAACGTTTATATATATTGATCAATTTTATAAACTTACATATTTGAGAAGAAAGTATATCGTCTGTACATTTGGTATTTAAAAGCGCTCATGCATAAATATATGTGAGTAAGCATACATCTGTCTATACACTAATGCAAACATTCTGGTGCTGGTGCATTTTGATTTTCTTGTACCGAGCACAACATGCTGATGCTAGTTTGTTTGTAGCTCCATGATCCTCATCTTCAACGCAATAATTTTCCTTGCATAGTGATTTATTTTAGGTAGGATTGGGCTGGGTTTTTGTATAGTTGAGGTATATTTTGACTTGTTTTTCTTTCTTTATTGAGAGTAAGAAATGAAGGTAAATTTAGCTCTGTAAATCTGCCAAAACCAAATTTGACCTGACTTGAGCAATTTGACTTGATCTTACGATGGACCAAGTTAAGACCAGGTTAACTTGAGCCAATTATATAGTTTAATAGAACTGTCTTGAAGAAAAAAAGTAAAATACTTTCTTTCTCATTTTATTAGGTCATATAATGCATGGAAAAGCATGAATATAATCTGTTTTTATTCTATTTTATTTTACATGAATGAATTTTTGGATTTTTTGTCCATTTAATAAGGATTTTGCATGGAACATGTACTTAGCATTTCTTTTTTGGACATGCTCCAATAGATCCCATGGTGGATTATGGGTAGGTATATGACGTGACATTACGATCCAGGGATTAGATCATAATGGGAATAGTCAATCTAATCATAAACTTTAAAGAAGTTTATGAGAAACAGCTTTCGTCATAATTTGGGCATCAAGTTGTGAAGAGATCGCGAGATTATTTTTTTTGAAGTTTTAATGGTGTCTTATTTCGAGATGGAGATTGTCAATGTTGCACTGACCCAGTTTGAAATTTTCAAGGCTGGAATAGGTGTGGACAGTGAAAATGAAATTTATCTAATATCTTTAAATCCAATGGTAAAAAAAGAATCATTGCAGAAAAGAAAATTTAATTAACACATCAAATTTACTTTCCTATTTGTTGACCCCATCTTCTATAGAAGCTCTCCTTTTTTCTCATTTTTACCCTATAATTTCACTTAAAAATATTAATTTAAAATACAGTGAACTATCAATAGTCAGAGAGTAATGTATAGTAATATAATGAATAAATAAACAATATGAACGTGAGTCGTACAAAATAAATCAGTGAAAATTTTTAGCAAATAAAAGTGCATCGATATTAATAACTTTTTCTAGTATACATGTACTTGTAATTTAGCGTCCCTAACTAGTATCATAAATGAGCATAACCCATCATTGATAATATGAACATGTAAACAATCTATATAACTTGTATCCTTCATGTGTGTATATCATTCAATTTAGTATAATATATCTATTTATCTATCTATATATATATATATATATATATATATATATATATTGTTGTGATATAAGTAGGGAAAAGATACGGATAGTTGTATGAGTGGGCCCAAAAAACAACACCCTACGCACACGATACAACGCAAAAATCCTTAAAAAAGAAAAGATACATATAAGACTAAAAACTAAAACCACTAAAATGTGCAAAAAGTTAGGGACGACCCAATTTAGTCTTGTCTCTACCTCTAAATCTAGGAATGGAGCCAGCTAACAAATTAGTGAGTTGTGTGTCATTACTTGAAGCAACCACTGTATCATCCATTAGATTCCTGAGCTCAATTAGATCTTCATTCATTTTCTTTCTCTTGAGTGTGTAAACCTGTCATTCTTCATCCAAAGACTGACTCATCTGATCAGTGTGTTGGTCAATAGATTGTCGGGCATATATAAGCTGATGAGTCCCTTATGTCTGACTAACAATAACGACTTGCTCCTTCGGATGAGGTGATAGAACCGCAGTAGAAAGATTGTCAACCGTTGTAACCACAATAGGTTCTAGTGTATGTGAAGTATGAATTATCGCTTCTGCACTGGATGCTTCCTGAAGATGAGGAGCTGCAAGGCTCTTCTGATTATTGGTTCGAACATTATTCTTTGTAGGTAATGATCCGTCAATACTGTTTACAATAAGGTTTGAAGGTGTAGGTTGCCCAGCAGAACCATCCGACAACACATCAATTCATGGATTCAGAAACATAAATAGTATTGTTAGGGGGGTTCCCAAGAGCAATTAAATTAGACATCAATTCATGTCTTGTGGTAATTTCCTCCACAGGTGGAGCAGATGTGTCCAGAGCAGGATGGGGCATGTGATATTTGTCAAAGGTATGCCCAAACATCTTACAGTGGGTACAATAAAAAGGTCTATGTTCCATGACAATTTGACATACATACATACGTACATACATATATCTTTAAATAATATGTAAATGTTAATATCGTTGAAAAATACAAAATGTTATAGTAGATTAAAAGTAAATAACCGTTTAATTTTGGAAAAAGTCTAGATTCAGTTTAGGTGGATTTAGTAGTGGCAAGACTTATGGTATCGTAGTTTCATGTATTAGATGTGTAAGACAACATAAGGGTGAGTACTGATAGGTTACAACTAGGGGTGTAACTGGGCAGAACTTGAAGGAGCCTGAGGTTTGTCTGTGTTCGACTCGTTTGATTTTTTTTGTCGTTCATGGTCAGCTCGTGTTCAAAATAGCTCGTGATCGGCTAAATTCAAACTCGTTTGTTCAAATTAAGCTCGTGTTTTTCTTGAAATAATAATTAATTAAAATTTAATAAATTAAATAATATAAGTAAATTATAAAAAAAATTATTTTTATTTAGAACTCTAAGAGAGAATAATACCATTTTAGCTTCATTGGCTTCTAAAAAGTTGAAATCGATTTTTACATTTTAAAGAGCATATTTTAAGTTTTTTTCACTTATTCTCATTGTGGGATTAAACCTGAGAGGGCTGAATCGTGCGAGATCACGGGGCGGGAGGGCTAAATCGTGCGAGATCACGGGGCGGGAGGGCGGGTGAGCGTCTGCAAATTTTTCGGGCATTTACATACATTCCACACAATTCTTATGTATTTACATATCTGACACCAAATTTCTAAAACTAGCTCAAATCATTTTAAAAACTAATAAAATTTAATATATATTTTTAAATATAGTATAAAAAATTTAACATATTAATATTATACGACTATTAATAATTTATTATTTAATTAATTTGAGTCAAATCGAGCTAAATACGAACAAACAAACATTTATTGGTGTTCAACTCATTTTTAAATCTATTTAAAAATCTTTGTTTGTATATGCTCATTTGCTTAACAAACGAATCGAGCACGAGCTATTTAGTGAGACCAACATGAGAGCTTTTTTTGATAGCCTAGCTGTAACACATGCTATTTAATATATATTTTTAAATATAGTATAAAAAATTTAATATATTAATATTATACGACTATTAATAATTTATTATTTAATCGAGCTAAACATGAACGAACAAACATTTGTTGGTGTTCAACTCATTTATAATTCTATCTAAAAAACTTTGTTTGTGTATGCTCATTTGCTTAATGAACGAATCGAGCACGAGCTATTTAGTGAGACCAACATGAGAGCTTTTTTTGATAGCCTTAGCTGCAACACATGCTATTAATATTTTCAGCGTGATCACATAGCTAGATACTGCCCTACACTTGGCCAAAAGACATCTGAAGAACAAAAATTGATGCATAGCTGCATTTGAATTTAAACCTTCAAATTACAAGAGATTTTAGGGAAGGGCTGCTACATAATTCTTTGGAAAAATATTTTTATTGGCTCTGAGGAGTTGATATGAAAAGTACATGCCTTCTTATGTATATTAGAATATTCTAGTCTTTTGAATTTTTTTTAGGGTTTTTTTTAACTAGAATGTGTTTAGTTTTAGGATTATTTGTATGTTAAATTTGATAGTGTTTAAGACTTGCTGAATTTGAGCTTTAAATTTCATAAATTTAAATACTATTTAATAATCAATCCTGGATAGAATTTGAATATGTTATTGCTCCTTACTCTCCCTTTTCTCTCTCTCTCTTATCTCTCCATCTTCCTTAGCAGCCTTCTCTTTAATGGGTTCTCACAAACCTTATGGAATGACCTCTCTCTCAAAATTCTCTCCATTTAAAACTGTTAACCCTTTCTCTCTAAGCCGCCTATTGACAACCCCAATTCAAATCTCTTGGACTGATTTCAAGAACGCAGTAAACAATTCTTAAGGACAAGTGATGAAATTAAGAATCAGAAATCTGAGAGAAAAGAAGAGCAGATGGATTCAGTATACAAGAAAGTGCAGAAGCCTTCATTTGCACTAGTATAACTACAACTATAGAGAAGGGTAAATGCAGGTTCTATATATACAAAAAGGTGAAAGACACAGAATATTTTAGTAGAGTGAATTAGGATTTTGTAGATTCAGGCGTGGAGTGGTAGGCCTGCTGGAGAAAGTTAATACGGTGGAGAAGGTGTTCTTAGGACTGCTATTAACCCCCCTCAAGTTGATGATTCCTGTTAGAAGCACCAACGTATTGCAGAACAGTTGAAATCTGGTAGTTGGTAGTGGTTTGGTGAACAAGTCTGCAATCTGATCCTGAGAAGCCATATAATGGACAACAATAATCACGGCCTTGATGCAGTACTTATTGAAGTGGTGGACAATTTCAATGTGTTTCTTTCATGCATGAAAGATGAGATTGTTGGCGAGAGAGATGGCTGATACATTGTCACAGAGGGGTAGATTGATGAACTAATGCTGGAAAATCTTGAAGCAAATGATGAGTCCAAATGATTTTTGTGGCAGCAGTGTCAAGAGCACTATACACTGTTTTTGTAGATGATCGAGCTATTGTTGATTGCTTTTTGGAGGTCTAGAAAATCCTGTTGGCACCAAGGAAAATGTAGTAGCCTGAGGTTGATTCGCGATCCAGTGGATTACCCGCCCAATTTGAGTCAAGAGAATACACGAAGTTGAAGATCCGATTGGATGATAGGAAGAGCTAGAGTTGTTGGTTTGTGGTGGCATAATAGTTGCATTAGTCGCTGATTATGTGTGTGAAGGGGTTGATGCTTGTGTTGGGAGAGCTTGTTGATGGCAAAAGAAAAAATTCTGCCAAGTGATTATGAAATATTGAAGGGATCCGACTATGTGGTGTTAGAGTTGGGGTTCTGGAAGGGGTGAGTCGGATGGTGGTGGGGAAATGGTTTTGGTAGGAATAGGGTAGATGCCATTTTGCTTGATAGCATTCCTACATGATTGAGAATGCTAGTGATGTGGTTGGATTGGGAGAGATAAAGACTTTTAGGCGTCTTATGAATTTGAATGCTGAGGAATTGGGAGATGGGACCAAGTTCGGTGTCTTATGAATTTGAATGTTGAGGAATTTGGAAATGGGACCAAGATTGCACATGTGAAGCTGTTGTTAGAGTTTGGTGATTGTATTATTGATGAGATAAGTGTTGTTGCCAATGATCAGAGGATCATCAACATAAATTAGAATGAAGATGTGAGTGGATTCGGTGATGTGAAGAAAGAGAAAGGTGTCAATTGAGCTGGGTTGGAAGCCAAGAGTAGAGAGATCTTGGGTAAGAGTGGCTTTTCATTGGTATGGGGTTTTCTTAAGACCTTAGAGAGCTTTGTTAAGTTGACAAATGTAGGTAGGATGGGCAGTATTAATGATCCCCTTGGGTTGATCCATCTAGATGGTTTCTTGAGAGCCATCTAGATGGTTTCTTGAAGCATCATGAAGGAATGCGTTGGATACGCCAAATTGAGTGACCGGCCATGTGTGTGATAGGTTGACACTACAAAAAAAATGCAAATTAGCCTTTTTGACCATCGGACTAAGGGTCTGTTTGGGGCAACTGCAGCTTATTAAAAAGCAGTTGTGAACTGTTGAATAATAATCTGATGCTCAAAAAGTTGCGGTGATTATTATAATTTTTTTTTGTAAAGTCAAACCACAGCTAGAAAACTGCTGCCGCATCTAGCCAGAAGTGGTGGGAAAATGCAAATTTCAGCGGCAGCTTTTTGAAAAAAACTGATAAAACGCAGTTTACTCAAATAGATATAACTGCGGTGCGGAGGCACACCGCCTCCAACGCAGTTTACTCAAATAGATAAAACTGCGGTGCGGTGGCACACCGCCGCCCCAAACGGACCCTAAATGTCTTAGAATAGTTAATTTCATATTACTGTTTGTATCTTGAGCCACTAAACAGGTTTGGTGTCAAGCTTTAGTTTATGTGTCAAACAACCATCGAGCACATTTTGTTGAGAGGTGAGATGAACAAATTCCAGGTTGAATAGCTTGGAACTCCTCTCATATTGCTTGGCACTAGCATTCCAGTTTGACAGCCTCATAAACAGGATTTAGCAGTAGGTGGTGTGAGAGAGTGAGCCAAATCGAGAATTTTTTTAGGTTTGGAGATGATTGCTTTAGTGAGTGTGATCATGGGATGCAAGGGAATTTGTTTGGCTGAATGATAAGGAGGATCAACAGGTAAATTGGATGAAGATGGCAGTATATTAGGTGAAGGGTCAGTTGGATGTTGATGGGTGGTAGGAGGTGAGTTTTTCTGAACTGAAATATTAGGTGGTGGTAAGGTGTTTTTAGATGTAGAAGTCTGAGAGGGGTGATATGAAGTTGTGACTACTGTTCAAGGTGTATGTGTGGAAGAGGAAATGGTAAACCGATAGGGGAAAATATTTTCGTGAAAAATAACGTGTCGAGATATGTAATATTTGTTGGTAGATGGATGGTAACTTCTATATCCTTTGTATTGAGGATGATGAGACAATAAAACACATTGGGTGGAGGTAGGTGAAAACTTGTTTGACGATTATAGAAGTTACCCATGGCTGAAACCTTATTGAGTCTACCCTTTTTGGAGGTAGGTGAAAGCTTGTTTGAGGAATAAGGATTCAGGAATGGACAGTTGTGTCTTGCGGAAGTGTTCAGTTGCCAAATTTACTTCTTCAGAAAAGAGAAGTGAGTAAAGATCATCTAAGCTGACAGGTTGAAAGTTTGTTCAAATTGCAATTTTCAAGGCATTGTAAGTTGAAGGTGGATCATTCAGGGTATAAAGGATAACTAACATCCTTGGGGTTAAATTGTGTGTTGGCTGTAGCAACGGTGTCTACCTTGACTTTAACCTCAGCAAGATATTGTGTCATGGTTTTGTCCTGCATGGAGAGGTGAAGTTCTATTTTTTAGTTGGAGAATACGGAATGGTTCTAGATTGAAGGCGATGGGTTAAACTATTCCAGATTTTAGCACGTGTTGGATAAAGCAACAGGAAGATTTTGGTACACTAGTTGCCAGGTTGTGTATTGAGGGTTGAGCGAAACAGAATTATCATTGTGTTTTAGGTATTTCGGTGGTTTGTGGTTGATACCTTCCTGATAGCCATCGATACCCTTAGCTTGAAAAATTTGAGAGTTTTGTGAGCTCCGGATGAGATAGTTTCATGCAGTTAGATGAGTAGAAATGATTTTTTTTTTGTTGGACATCAGAAACTTCAGTTGAGGAGGAATTATAGTATCGCCTGAGATCTGAATTGAGGAGTTGTTACGAAGTTCGTTGGTTAGGTTGGATGCCATTGAAATGGTTGTCAGAGGGCTAAGGTAGCTATGATACCAAGATGAAATTTAGAATCAGAAATCTGAGAGAAGAGAAAAGCAGATGAATTGACATACAGGAAAGTGAATAAGCTATCTTTTGTAGTAGTGTAATAACTGCAACTAAAGAGAAGACCGAATACAGGCTTTATGTATACAGAAAGGCAGAAGACATTATTTCTGCAGAGTTGGGATTTTGTGCGGGAGAGGTGGTCCTGCTGAGGCCATGTACGTCGGTGTATATGGCTGGATTGTTTTTAGGACTGCTATTAGCAAGTTCATTCATCAATAGCCTGTGTTCAAACTACAATTACATCAAGATCAATTTTCTTCTTCATCCAATCTGTTTTGTTTTAATTTCTATTTGCATCATCTTCTCTCTGTGATTATCCCTTGAGATTTTTCCTCTGTTGCATTTTTTTTTTATGTAATGTCAGCATCCCTGAAAATTTTGAACCAAGAAAGTTGCACCCAATTTGTGCTTAATTGTTTATATGTTTTTGCACAAAAAAATTTCTGAAGTTTATGAAAATTGATTCTCACAATCATACTCTTTTGATTTAGATGTTCGGACGTGAAGCTGCAAAAATTCTAGATTATATTGAGTGCTTTCCCGAAGGTGTTGGAAAAGGAAGAAAAATGGCTCAGGAATGCACACTTACTGGACTGGAAGGCTTCCCTACCTGGATTATAAAAGGAAAGGTAATTACTATGTACCAGGAGAAAAGTTATTGTGATGACATTCTGATGAAATTTTAATTATGATGAATTTTATCATTCAATTTATTTTGAGATTAGTGCAGCAATACATGATTAATCAGTTAAAATTCATCGTGCACTCATTTTAAAATAAATTTAAGGACATTTACATACATAACACTAGATTTTTATGCATGTACATAGCTAACACCTAAACTTCAATTTTTACATATATGCGACTTTACCTTTGTATGAAAAAGTGTATTTCACCTTTAAATAGTTAAAATAGTGGTATTTCTTTGTGTGCTATGAATGATTTGGGTGGTATAAATGTAAAGAGTAAAGTTTAGGTGTTAGATATGTAAATTTATAAGATTTGTTGGTATTTATGTAAATGCCCCCTCGTAAATTTAATGGATACAAAATTCAACGATCAAATTAGAATATTCCTCTTTAGAGTAATGTGTGAAAAAGAATTATTTTGTAAAAGGTTTATAACCTATTTAATTCCATAACACAATAATTAGGTATTGCGTGTAATTCTATTTATTTGATATCAGAGCGTCCACTCTCCTTTGCAGCTCCCTGTCATGTGCTAAATTATCCCAAGTCATCCGTGCGGCTTTAGCGCCCTTCTTTGCACTAAATCTGGCTAACCTTCACAAGTCTTGGACTTGTAAGCACACAACACTCTTGGAAGAATAATAGGGAGAAGTATTGGAGAAAAGAACACTTCACTAAGAAAGGGTGATTACAACACTTGAATGCTTGGAACCTTGGATGGATCCAAATGAGGGGCAGGGACTCTTATTTATAGTCCTCCCCTCCAAGCCTAAGAGAATATTCTAGAATAGTATAGTTTCTAAATAGTTCTACATCATTCTTTTATGTATATACATAGCCCTAGGTCCTAGGTTATTCTTGAGTTCTCCATGGATCTTTTCCTTCTAACATTCTTTAGAATGTGTGGAGTCTTCCAGAGTTACTGAAGTTGCTCTCCTCCATCTGGTCTTTTCTAGAATCTTCCATCTCTTGGTTGTCTTGCAAATTTTTTTGGAGATTGCAGAGTATGACACTACTTAAACTCGCAATGCCCTCATTGCATCATTCTCTTGATATTGTTAGATGTTTTCTTTAAATTGTTTTGGTCTTTCTTTTTGCTCCCAGCTAGCTTCACTATCAGACAATCATCTCTACATGATGAGATACTCCTTGTTGTTTGGCATCCCTCGTACCTTTTCTGCCATTATTTCTTCAACTTCTCTATCAAAGGAGGCGATTACGATTGTAGGTGCTCTCTTTGAAATCCCTCTTAACGGGTCTTCCATTTCTTCATGATAGGGCTTCAGCATGCTTACATGAAAGACTGGATATATCTTTAGTTTTGGTGGAAGATTGAGTTTGTAGGAGACTTTTACCACTTTATTCATTACCTTGAATGACCCTTCATATCTTCAAATCAATCATTTATGTACCTTTCGAAATGTTTTGAATTGTTGGGTAGAAGTTTTACAAGGACTAGATCTCCTTTAAACTCGATATGCTTCCACTTTTTGTCTGCCTACTTCTTCATCCTCCTTGTTGCTTTGTGTAATATTGCTCGAGCTAGCTCACTTTGGTCACTTCAGGACTTGGCAAACTTGAAGGCTATTGGACTTTTTCCTTTATAGTTGGTTGTATAGGAGAGGGGAGTCATGGGTTGTTGTCCTATGATTATCTCGAAAGGACTCCTGTTGATGGCTTCACTTGTTTTTAAATTGAGGGAGAATTGCGTCACATCCAGCAATTTGGCCCAATTTTGTTGATTTGCACTCACATAGTGACGCAAATATAGATATAAAAGGGCATTGATTCTCTCGGTCTGCCATCACTTTGAGGATGAAAGCTAGTAGAAAAGTTTAGGTCGGACCCTAAAAATTTGAATAGTTTGGTTTAAAATCTGTTAGTGAAGTGAGGATCTCGATCGCTGATAATGTTTTTTGGTATTCCCCATAGCTTTACTATGTTGTCGAGAAAGAGCCTTGCAGCCTCTTCGGCAGTACAGTCGATGGGAGTAGCAATGAATATTGCATATTTGTTGAACCTATCCACCACGACCAGGATGCTTCCAAATTCATCTAACTTCTTTTGTTGTTGAACGACAAATTTGTCTTGTTGGCAAACAAGACGAGTGCGAACATATTCTTCTATCCCATCATTTTCCCTGGCCAATAATAATTTGCTTTTAGAACTGTTAGGGTTCGATTCATACCTGGATGTCATGCCCATAAAGAGGCTTGGCATTCTTTGATTAGCTCCTTTCTTAAGTTGCCCCTCCTTGGTACGCAGATGCATTGGCCTTTAGTATAGATGATATCTTCACCTATCCAGAACTTTCTAGTTTTTCCTTCACCAAAGCAATAACAGTTTGGGCTTGTGGATCAGAGTTCAACCCTTTTTTCATTCTGCTTATGAGGGAGCTAGAGATTTACAAAATGCTTGCCAGTTCTTTTTTTCGGCTTAGTGCGTCTACTATTACATTGGTCTTTCCTGGCTTATACTCCAATATGTAATCAAATTCCGCCACAAAATCATGTTATCTTACCTGCTTGGGACTTAGCTTTTTTTGGGTTTGAAAGTAACTGGTGGCAATATTATCTATCATGAACCTGAATTTGGAGCCGGAAAGGTAATGTCTCCATACTCGAAGGCAATGTATGATGGTCATCATCTCCTTTTCCTGGACTGTGTAGTGACGCTCCGCCTTATTAAGTTTCCGACTTTCATAGGCAATTCGGTGTCTGTCTTGCACGAGTACTTCTGTAGCAAAGTCAGAAGCATCAGTATGCACTTCATATACCTTTGTATGATCAGGAAGGCTAAGTACGGGCTCTTCACTAATTTCCTTATTGAGGTCTTCAAATGCTTCATGGCACCTGGTATTCCATTCCCATGATTTATTCTTCTTGAGTAGGTTCGTTAGTGGAGTAGCTCTTGCAGAATAATCATTTATGAATCGCCGATAGTAGTTTACAAGCCCCAGAGAGGATCTTAGCTCATATACATTGGTAAGGTACTCCCAATCTTGGATTGCTTTGATATTGCTTTCTTTCATCATATGCTTTCCTTTATCTTATGCCCTAAGAATATCACTTTTTGTTTGGCAAATATGTACTTTTCTTTCTTATTTTCTCTTAGAACTTTGAACACTTATCGGAGATGTCTCAAGTGATATTGGAATGTGTTGCTATAAACCACTGTCATCCAAGTAGACAACAACAAACTGATTCAAGTATTGTTGAAATAATTTGTTCATCAAGGTGCATAATGTAGCATGAGCATTAGCCCAAAAGGCAGGAGAACCTATTAATTGTGAGAGGTACCAGAGATTTGTGGGCCGTCAGATTTATCTGTACCACACTCGACCCGACATCTATTTGCAGTAAGTGTGGTGAGCCGCTACATGCATAATCTAAGAGCCAAATGGATGTATTGTATCAGATCTTGAGATACCTGAATAGTGCACCAGGAAAGGGGTTGATCTTTAAGAAGAATGGACACGTAGACATTGAAGGCTTTTGTGACTTACTGAGCAAGTTATGCCGATGACAGGAGATCCACATTAGGATATTGCATGTCTGTAAGGGGCAACTTAGTCTCTTAGAAGAGCAAGAAATAGTCAGCGGCAGCAAGGTCAACAACAGAGGCAGGATACAGGGCCATGGCATTAAGGGTTGCTGAGATGATGTCTTTGAGAGCTTTGTTGGTTGAATTCAAGGTGGACTAAGGAGCACAAATGAAGTTGTGGTGCGACAACAAGTCAGCAATCAACATTGCCAACAACTCGATGCAACACGATATGAGATATGTAAATATATAAGAATGTGGCTATGTATGATGTACACATAAAAATGTGTCCGCACAAATCTTAAAGAAGATGGGTGGCTCTAGAAGGAGATGTGGTTGATCGAGCATAGCTTTTGACGATCATTTCTAGATGAGTAGTAGCGAAGGAAACATCTTACCCGAATGATCGATAGAAAACGCCAAGAGAAAACTTCGTAGGGCAGTAATTAGCCTGCAGGACGATCGATGGGAGTACTCTTTCGGACCATATATCGAGCGAACTAAGGCTTATCAAACGATCGGCGACCCTCATTGATCGAATGGACCCTCAGCTTTATTATATGCAAATAACCTTGTATTTACGAATAAGTTCCCCCTGAAATGTTAATAATGAGGGGGGTAATATATACTTTTGTAATATTGAGACTTAGATCTATAAATAAGGATCCATATTATGAAAAAAATGACATTTTTATCTGTCTACTATTGCTCTCTCTCTCTCTCTCTCTTTTTCTCTCTCTTTCTCTCTCTTAAGTGATTCCTAATAGAAAGTTACATTCCTTGGATGAAGTTCCCGGACATTCTTGGATTCACCGTCATTTAAGGTATGGTAAGCATGGAAACATATTGTCAACAAGAAGATGAGCCTAAAAACAACAATAGGGAGCGTCCAGCTAGAGGGACGAAGGAGAAACACCATGCACCCGGGAGTTCATGAAAGAATTTGTTCAACAAGGTCTGTTAGACTTAAGAACCCAACTCATCAACCAGATGTCTGGACAGTTTGCAGAAGTCCTTAAGGCAGTCACTGCCCTAGCAGTCGCCCCATTTCTAGGAGGAGAATCGGTGCGACTAGAACTATCGGTCAACAATGGAAGGAGGGGGATCCACCTACAGGAGAAGCCCGATGACAGTCTATACCAAGACAGCGCCGGATCCGCCCTCGTGGAGGAGAGGAATCGACTGATGCGGGTCGAGGTATGAAAACTGTCGGAGAATGCTTTCTCTCTACAGGTCTCCGGAGTTAAACCCCTGGAGAAGTTCAAGATGTCAGACTTGGAAAGTATAAAGTAGGATTGGATCCTAACAACTATCTCACATCGTTCGAGTCGTTCATATGTCTGTTAAAAATTTCTGATGCTCTTAAGTAAAAGTTTTTCTTCACGACGTTGAGATCGACCACATTGAGGTGGTTCGACAGATTGCCTGTTGGGATAATCACCTGTTTTGCGGAGTTCAGAAAAATTTTCCTATCGCAGTTCGCCAGTGCCCTAAGGCCCAAGAAGAGTGTCTGATCCTTCTGGCAGCTGAAGTAGGGGACCAACAATAGCTTATGATTGTTTATCACGTGTTTCTAGAGTGAAAAGTTAGATGTCAAGGACATGAAGTCTGACATGGCTCAAATCGCGCTGACTCAAGTAGAAGGTTGGAGAGGTTTCGTTTCAACCCGAACTTGCAGAATTGGAGATGACCAACAGATTCATCGTCTCTTATGAGAAAGTCCTCGAGCCGGTCGAACAATGACACCAGAAAAGATCACCACAATACAACAGAGGACAACACAGGCAAAGCGCGCAACCGTCAAACCGACCTCGCTACGAGGATCTCCTTGACAATCACTCCAGGCAACGCCGAGAGAACTAGTGGTGACAACCCATGTCCTTGAACCACTGGTTGTCATACCATCTGGAACACCCCCAATATAACTACAAGGTCCCCCGCAAAACCCCGCTCAGGGTATCCATGATAGAGATAGTGGACGTCATCCAAGATAAGGACTTCATTAGGAAGGTGGCACTGATGAGAGTTGGGGCTTTCCTTCGAGATAGTAGGAAGTACTGTAAGTACCACAAAGATTAAGGACACGACACGGAAGAGTGCAGGCACCTGCGAAGCTTGATCGAGGAGCTGATAAATGAGGGAAATTTGAAAAAATTCGTCGTCTATGGAGCCGCGACCTAATGTCAAGGTAAGGCACTTATGGGAGGAGCGACTAATGGGCTCGTTGGCACCAACATCATTCACATTGCAGGGTACGTGTCCGTAATCTTCGGAGGAAGTGATCCACCCAGGAGGGCAAGCGAGAAGCGGCATTAAACAGGGGAAATCTGTGCTGCCACGTTTGCCCTGAAGCCCAAGGATCATCCACATATCTATTTCACTTATGAGGATCTTCCCCCAAAAGGGAAACCCATAAAATGAATCCATTGTAATAACGATGATAATAATCAATTACCAGGTAGGGAGTATCTCTCAGTGATAAGGAGAGTTCCCTGAATGTGTTATTCATACAAGTATTCGACAAGCTGGGCCTCACTGTCAATCTGCTGACTGCGTCTGTTGGTCCGCTATATGAATTCTCGGGTGAGAGAAAAGCACTGGGAGTAATTCGGCCGACCGCTGCTGAACACTTTTAGAGTTGTCTCTACTCACCACATCTCTGTCAAGTTTTCTGGGATGGAGAAATCTTCACGATGACCTGGAGCAGTCTCAGGTCGGCTACCTGCAGGCTATAATCAACGTAGAGCATGATCCCCTAGACATCCAAGACGCGAGGGAAGGTGGCCTCGAGACCAGCAAAGCCACTCGCGAGGTCCCGACAGTCGAAGGAGAACTAGGTAGATGTTTTCTGATAAATGAAGCTTTTGATGCATATCACAAGCAATTATTGATCCAAACCCTCTGAGAAAACATTGATGTTTTCGCATAGAGAACCACTAGGATGTCAGGCATGCTAATTGATTTCGTGTGTCACAGTTTGAGTGTTGATCCATCAGCCTGACTCATGAAGTAGAAGATCAGGAGTTCAACCATGATACTTGCAGGACCCATCCGAGAGGAAGCGCGAAAATAGGAGGTGGGGTTCATTCAGGAAGTACAATACAATAGCTAGGTTTCCTCCAACCTAATGATGGTCCAGAAGACCAACGGAAAGTAGAGGATGTGCATGGACTTCACTAACCTGAACTTTGCTTGTCCAAAAGACTCTTATTCTCTGACGATGATAAATAACCTGGTAGATTCGGCGGTCAACCACCCAGTCTTGAGTTTTCTTGATGCATTTTCCAGTACATAAGTCATAATAGCGGCGATCGAGTTTGGAAGGATTTGAGCTGAAATAATGTCATAGCAGTTGAGATGGAACGCGGCTCTTGACAAAATGGTAGCCGAATAACCATCTTAAAATGGTCCTTGTAGAAGACAAAGTCATGAGAGGATTCATCCACGACCCGTTCATAGCTGCCGGTCTGTCGCAAGAGAATTGTGGGATCCAAAACACAACGATCTTGGATCCCCTCTACGTCCGCCGTAGAAAAAACCAAAATCTCTGCTGCAGGAATCGAACTGAGCGACTCCTGGGAACATTTTCGAACCATGGAGTCTAGTGCGTTGGGTAGAAAAGAAGATGGAAAGGATGACGAAACCTAGAGAAAAGAAGAAACGACAGCACAACTCGGGGGAAGAAGAGGAATGATGAAAGAAAAAGATTTTGTCTAGGGTTTAGTCAAAATCTTTTTCTTTCCTAAACCCTAAACATATATATATGCAGGATAGGATACTTGGGAAGTCGAAACGTCGCCGATGTGACTGATGCAACAGGACTACATGTCATCCAGGTAATCATTACACGAAATTGAAAGATATTTTGTTTTATTTCATTTCTTATTTATTTACAAAAAGAGGGGGAACCTCGATTACATCTGAGTAAGAAAAAATCGGACTAGACGATCGTTATCAGCTTTGCCTGAGACAAACTCTCAACGAAGAAGTCGTCATACATAAACTTGTTGCCCAACCTGAAAAGGTCATTCTGGTTGTCCCTAGGCTGAGCGGCGAGGGCTTCTGTAACGGCCGACAACTTTGAACTTAAACACATAACTTCCCTCAAAAAGCCGCGACCTCCTCGTGCAGTCCAATGACTTCCCTCTCCACCCGGTCAACCCTCTCCAGAACCACAGTAATTCTCCTATCACCGTCTCCTTGGGGATACCCCATGAAGTGAAGAAAATGCTCCATTTCAGCAAGGTTGCAAAGAATGAAGTACAAAGACACACAGTGCCCTCCGGTCGCTTCCTCCTCCCTTGCGGCACCATAGGAAGCTTGACGACCAGCATCCTGGTCTCTAGCACCCGGATCCTCGATGTCCCGATCAGCACCTTGTTCAAGCACGCTCAGCTCCGCCATATCTCCTCCCGCAGCAACCTGTCCCAGATTCATCCCCTCGACCGCAACCTGGTCCGCCGCCGCTGCATCATCTTCAAGACCAACTTCGGTATCTGCCGATACAGAATCAACAGTCAGGACCTCAGTTGCTGAAAAGAGAGATGTAAAAAACTATTCAAAGTACATATCAAGAATCTGCCCCCATTCAGATGCAGTATAAGAGAGAATGTCCTCACCAGCTTTTCTGGTCCTCCAATTTAAGAAGAGAAACCTCTAATAGTCGGTCAAAGCTATCTCTGGCTCAGCCGCCTCCTCCTCAGCACTCCTTTGAGGAATTGCGACCCCCCGTAGCATCTTGAGTAGTCAATTTTTCTTCTGCAGCAGGAACATTCACCCTCGGCGAGGGTCCCGCAGGAAGGTCTTCAGGACGGCCTCACCTGTCCTACAGCCCTCTTCTGAGGAGGGCCCGTAAGAAAACCAAAAGAACCAAGACGACTCTCGCGATCGCCAACTCCAGGCCTGAACACAGCTTTCTTCTTACTCGTCTCTTCCGCAGATACCTCACCCGCTGGTTTGCGCTTCACGTCTAACTTACGGGATTGCGCCCACATATCACTCATAGCCTGAGAAGGACACTTATGAGAAAGCAGAGTTTATTCGCCAAACATCATGAAAAACAAGGACACGAGACAAAAGAGTTGGAAGAGATGGAAATGGTGCAAACCTTCCTTACCCCAAAACCTATTTATAATGGCCTGGACACGGAAATTCATGGAAGTCCATTATTGCACAATAATATCATATAACCATTTTATACATGTTAAAAAACTCTTTTATCCTCTTGTGTTGAACAACATCCAAGGAGCAAGAGAATTGAGAAAATAAATATATACACATAAAAATGTGTTCGCACGAATCTCAAAGCAGATTGGCAACTCAGGAAGAAGATGCAGACGATCGAGCATAGCTTTCGATGATCGTTTTCGGATGTGTAGTAACGAGGAATCAACTTACCCAAATGATCGACAAAAGAAGCTAAGAGGAAATTTCGTGACGCAGTAAAGCTTTCAGGACGATTGATAGGGAGTACTCTTTCGAACCATATATCGACCAAACCAAGAGTTGTCAAACAATCGAGAGCCCTCATCGAACGAATAGGCCCTCTACTTTATCATGTGCAAATAATCTTATAATTATCAAAAAGTTCCCCCTGAAAAGTTAATAATAAGGGGATTAATATATACTTTTGTTTTATTGGGAGCTAGGCCTAATAATATGGGTCTATATTATGATCAAAGAACACTTTTTATCTATCCACTATTGCTATCTCTCTCTCTCTCTCTCTCTTAAGCACCTCCTAATAGAACGTTTCATTTCTTCGGTGTGTTTTCCGGACATTCTTGGATTCAATATATGTAAATGCCTCAAATTAAAAACCTTGCACAAATTTATGATTTACATGATTAATAAAATTATAAATTTAATGATAAATATTTGTTATTTAATTATTTAATTATTTCTTGTCAAAAGGAGTCAAATACAATCACACAAGCGTGTATTTGTGTTTAGCTGTATTTTTGTTTAGCTCACTCAAAGAACGATTTGAACTTTAAGAAATTAAACGTGCAGTAATCTTTTTTTTGACAACCCTAATGCCATCATTCTACCATAACATAGAGGTTTTTTATTTCAGGTTTTAAGTGGGCAGCAGAATCTTCAAGCTCTTGCAGATGCATCTGAGTTTGTGAGTCAAGATTCTTCCTATCAGTTGGCCTCGAAGCAAAATCAGTCCTGAGAATGCCTCTTTTCCCACCATATTTTTTGAGCTCCACCAACCAGCCTTCCAGTTGCTTTAATTTGGTGCTAAGCCACTGTACATATGCCATGAAGATGGGGAAGAATAATGGAAAATCAAATTGGTACCATGGCTTACAAGTTCTAAAAGAGGTGATTATTTATTTGGTGAGATTTTTTTCCATAGGGATTTTGCCTCTACGATATTGAATCATTTATACTTATATATTGCCGTTAGTTTGAGCAAAGGCTTTATGATTGATTATGAGGAAAACTTTTTTTTTTAATTTATTATACACTAGTTGAATTAACCAATTGAGGTTGGATATTACTTATTAAGTAAATAGATGGTATAAATTATTTTTTGACTAGTTTTAATTCACTCAAATAGTAGTTTATTTTTTTAAAGGTATATAGCATATACACGGATTCTAAAGATTGGCCGGCTTATTTGGTAGTGGGCCGGGAGACCCTGTTTTTGGAAAAATTATTCCATACGGACGGGCACCACATGCAAGATGCATGCGGTGTCCTATCCTGACCGTAAATTAAGTGATCTACGGTCAGGATGTATTTCGGAGGGCCTCACCTAAAATTTAAAAAAAAAAAATTGAAATATATTTGGACCGTAGATCACTGTGATCTATGGTCAGGATCGAACACCGCATGCAGAGATGCATGCGGTGTCCGTAAGCAATAATTTCTCCTGTTTTTGTCCCACAATATGATGCATGAAGGTATAAATTATGTTTGAAAATTGATGATTTTAATCTCACCTTTTTTGTATGAAATCTAAATTATTATATTTGCATATTTGAAGAGCATTTGGCAAGTTTAAAGTTAAAGGGGTATTTACATACATTCCACCCAATTTCTATGTATTTACATGTCTAACAATTAAATTTTACTTTCTACATTTATATCATAAAAAGTTTTCTAATCACATTAAAAAATATCATCTTTTTGACTTCTTAAAAGTGGATTCGAGGGTTCACCTTGTCCTATAAAAATAAAATTCAGGGATGTCTAAATGTGTTATTATTGATATATTTAGTTTCTCTTGCTGCTTTAAAATTTTGAACAAAAAATAAAAAATAATTGTTACTGACTTGAATTTGATGGCCATCATTTCGATTACGATGTCACGAGTCCATCAGCCGACGTTTTGCGATAGATAAGCGAGAATCTCCATTTTACCTTTTGGACTACGGTTTGTTTCCCTGTCCATCCCTTTTCCGATTACTTTTTGTCTGTTGGTCTCTTTTTTTTTTCCGGAGAAAATACTGTATTCGGTCTCCAGACACAGCTCTATTTTGGACTACGGACTCGAAATTTTTTCTACACCAGAACATCAGGGAATAATTGTCAGACTGACTTGAGCCATTAACAGATTCCTTCTATATGCAGTTTTTATTTATTTATTTATTTATTATTTTTATTTAATTTGGATGAAATCTGTAGCACATGTGCTAACTGAACAATGATTTGGAATATTGAATGGGGTTATAGTTGTATTATAATTTGGTACGTCGTAAATAATAAATTTAAAAGGTCAAGACAAGAATTTTATATTAAGACATGCTGTTTATCTCACGGATCGTAAATTTATGATGGTATTTTTTCAAATATTATTTTTAAAAGGACTTCGCGTCAAAAATAAAAGGGGAAAGTTATATATATATATATAGCACCTAATTCGTATGGATTTATCTATCTCATATTCAAATTTTTATTTTTACATATATAACACTTTTTCTATGGACGAAAAGATGGATTGGATTATTAAAATGCGATAATAAGTACTAATTTTCATATGACCTTTGTAATTATGAATATTTTGGTATGAGATAAGTAAATATGAGAGTTTTGAATGCTATATTTGTAAGTGTATTATTATTTTTTTGCATTTATTGAATCTGCGTACTAAACATTAAACTCAAGGTGTCATTTGAACAGCTTTTATAATGCCATGAGTTCAAAAATATTATAATTTTTTTTGGTAATTTGTTTGGTTAAAAATGAGAACTAAACTCTAATTTTTTTTAGGGGGATTTACATACATTCCACGGAAATATGAGTACTTCGTACCTAACACCTAAACATTTCCTATGTTCGATCTTCCGTCGCTAAGCCCGCCGCTTCCACCTACTCAAAAGAGTTAACCACCCCCACCCTCCCACCTCTAAAATAAGATTTTTATCTATATAGGAAGACAATTTGACTTTTTGCCCCTCTTGAAATATCACTTTGTATTTTATTGTCTTAATCTCTCTCACATTAGGCTTAGGGGGACAGTTTGTCTCCCTGAAAAAAAGTGGTTCGTTCTGCCTCTGCGGCCAATTATGTTTAGGAAAATAGAGCACAAATATTTCCTACAAATAACTCTCGTCGCTCGATATCTTAAGAACTCTTGCATTCTCCTGAAGAGCAAATCTTTTTCGTGAGGTTGTTTTTTATTCTTTCTAGAAGCTCTATAAACTCTCGCACATTCTTGCTAGGTTGTTCTCTCCTTTCTTCTAGTCAATTCTCCCGTATTTTTCCCTGTAAGCTTTGCCACTCAATTAAAATGTTATATTGAATGTTTTGGGTGATTGGTATGTAAAAACTCCAATATTTTTATATTTTTGTGTTCGGGTTAAATAAATGTATGTAAATCTTCCTTTTTTTTTTTACTTCTAACGTAGTGTTTTTTTCTTGTATGTCAATTCTTTGTTGATTTGTGAACATTTTTCTTAAGTCTTTTTTTATAATTTGAAGGATAATTTGTAAATGTGAAGAAGAAATTTTTTTTTGTTGTAGTATTAGAGAGTACATACTTACCACAGAATTCTTTTGAATTTACAAATCTAACATGATTTTTACATTTATACTAGTTAAATTTGTTGTGGTACTTCCTTCAGAGAAGACAAAAGAAAACAGAGAGAAGGGAAAACTAAATGTTTCTCTATATTTTCCTTTTTAACCAACCTTACAGCTATATATATGTATATATATACCCACTTCAATAGAACTCTCCTCGAGTGAATCAATTTTTGTAATAGCATCATTAGGAGGATGATAGGAATACAACTCTGAAACATTGAAGTTGGAATAAGTAATCAGGTCAGGTGATAGATCTATGATGTAGGCATTATCATTAATACGGTTAATTACAACAAAAGGACCAACTTTTCGAGGCTCGACTTGAAGTTTGTTCTTGGTGCAAACCATTCCTTGCACATTCTAACCATAACAACGTCACCCGGATCAAAAACCTTGTGTTTTCGGTGACTATCGATTTGTTGTTTGTAGTTATTGTCGGAACCGATTAATTTGGATCAAACTTACTGGAGTAGACAGGTTGCATCTTCAATCACGGAGGCAAAAATTGGGCTCTTACACTTGGGTAATACAACATCTACCATATAATTGGGTACTTTTTGTATACACAATGCTAAGAGCCTCTTTTCGGTGAGGCTATTAGTCATTGAATTGTAAGCAAATTCTACTTGTCTTAAAATGTCATCATATTGTTTCGGATGGCCTTGCACAAGACAGTTGAGCATATTACCAGTGATATGATTGGCAACATCAGTTTGTCTATGCGTTTGTGAAAGGTATGCGAAACTTAGTTGGTGACTGGTTCATAAAAGTTTCCAAAGGTCCCTTCAAAAACAACAATATTGGGAATGCAAGAGTAATCATTACTAATGGGGAAAGTCACTTCAAAATTTTTAGAATTAGCACATTATTGGCGAAATATGGAATTAAACATCGAACTGTCAATGCTTATCACCCACAAACTAGTGGTTTAACAAAAGTATCTAATCGTGAAATTGAAAGAATTGTGGAAAAAAACTGTGAATTCTAATAGAACTGGTTGGTCTGATAGATTTGATTCTGCATTATGAGCTTATAGGACTACTTATAAAACTCCTATAGAAATGTCATCATATAGATTCATATTCAGAAAAGCTTGTCATTTACCCGTTCAGTTAGAACATAAAACTTTTTGGACAATGAAAGAATTTAATTATAATTTAAAAGATGCTGGTGAGAAATGATTGTAATTACATAAGCTCTAAGGAAATTAGGAATGAATCTTATGAAAATGATAGAATTTATAAAGAAAAGATGAAATATTGGCATAAAGATGAAATATTGGCATGAAAAGATGAAATATTGGCATGATGAGAAGATTTTGAGAAAAGATTTCAAGTCTGGACAAAAGGTTTTGTTATATAATACTCGATTGAAATTATTTCCCAAAAAACTTAAGTCCAGTTGGATGGGGTCATTTATTGTGATAAAAATTTATCCTTCTGGGGATGTGGATATTAAATATCTGAAAACTAAATGTATAATTAAGGTAAATGGACATAGATTAAAACTTTGTATTGGTGAAAACATGTCTTCTCATAAAGAAATCTTGACGTAGGGTCAGTCTGAATAAAACATTTGGATACGTCGGGTTTATAACGTTAAACCAAGAGCTGGGTGGGGGGCAACTCACTATAATTGGTGTGGATTGATTTATATTTTTTAGGGTTGTAGTATCGTGTATTACTAAAGTTAAAGAGGCATATAAAGCACTATTTGATTATTTAAACATGATAGAGACTTGAAAATTTTTACATAAGGCGAAACGGTGCTTACTAAGGCACTGGCACCTACACGCCATTGCCAAGTAAGACTGGCGCCTAGGCGCCAGAATCTGATGTCTAGGTGCCACAGTTTATGGACTTGGAAAAAAATTGCCTAAAGCAATTTTTACCGATTCCTCTCTATTTAAACTACCCTATCTTCATCCTCAATCACCCGAAGATTGAAAATCAAGCCTTTGAGGAGAACTTAAGGAGTTTGAGTTCTTTAGTCCATTTACTTGCTTCCATGGAGAGAAAAAATAATGGTAAGGCCAATGGATATAAGTTTTAGCTCTGAGTTTGGAAAAGATGACGAGCAAATTGGGAAAGATTGAAGAGGATCTATCACTTCTGCACAAAAAATTGCATGAGATGTATCATCAATATGAGCACTTGGAGTGGCAGATGAAACTACAATCTAATCACATGGTGTGCCATTAGGATTATCAGGTAACCATGTATAGCAAAAACAATTGGATTAATGAAAAGATGGCTATGAAATTCCTTCATGCTCCTTTCTTCCACACATTTGATCGCAGATATTTAATATCAGAGAAGGGGGATGAAAATGAAATCAACAAGGGCTGTTGGAAGAATTCTAGTCTTTGTGTGCATGTTTGTGTCGACTTTAGTATTGATGTATCGTGTGCAATTTTAGTTAATATTTAAAT